TGAAGCATTGACAAATAGAACCATGTGATGATAGGAATTGACTTCAGAATAATCTGTTGTATGCAAAGCATAGTTCTTAGTTAGGTGTCGGTGACTGCAGGCAGGCATCATATGTGGGGAGTCATTGCACTATTCTTTCTTCTTTTATATTTGTTTGAAATTTTGCAAAATAGATTAAAAACCAAAGATTAGTAAGATCTTTTTAATCCGTTTTTTAAAAAAACTGTTAAGTGTTTGAAACAGGAAAAGTACATTAAAAAGACATTGGCTAATTGGGCATGCCAAGAACACTGACTTCTGGGATCATCAAAAAGTAGATCAGGCCGGGCATGGTGGCTCATGCCTGGAATCCCAGAACTCTGGGAGGTAGAAGCGAGAAGATTGCCTGGTCCCAGGGGTTCAAGACCATCCTGGGCAACTTGGCAAGATTCGTCTCTACAATAAATAGAAAAAATTAGCTGGCATGGTGGCATGCACCTATAGATCTAGCTACTGGGAAGGCTGCAGAAGGATTGCCTGAGTCCAGCAGGTCGAGGTTGAGGCTGTGGTAGTTGTGAACATGCCACTGTACTCCAGCCTGGGTGACAGGCTTAGACTCCAACTCAAAAAAAAAAAAAAGATCCAATCTAGAACTCTAGGATTTTGTCCAAAAGTAATAGATGACAAAAATGTGTTCTTGGGGATGGGGTAAGTTTTAGACCCGGTGGAGAAGAGAGGTGGCCCTGGTGAGTTCCAGAATGGAGAATTCTGTCCCTCACAGTAGAGTTGGCCTGTGTGAAATGCTTGTTAGTCTTTCTTGTTTGAAGTGATGAATTATCGGAGAGACTTAGGCTCAGAGTGAGTTAGGAAAGAAAGAACCAAGAGAACGTGCTACTGAACCGAGAAGAGGGTGCTCAGGTTCGTCGTGGGGGCTCCGCAGCGCCCTTGCCCTCGGCGAAAGGGTGACTGAAGTGAGAACCCGCTACGCCACAACTGGCTACTGTCGCTGTAGTTTCTTAAAACACCTTCGACTCAGTCCGTTGGGGTAGCCAGAGAGAGTCAGGCTTTGAGAACCTGAGGAAAAATGGACCCGGGAGCTGCTCGCGACCGCTGACCTGCTCCAGGTCCCGCCCCAGACACCCTCTTGCTCTCCCTTTTCGGACCTGGACTGTTTCTGCTCCTTCTCCATCTTCCCTCCAGCTGGGGCTATGCGGTCTGCCCCAGGTAAATTTCTCAGCAGTTCTTTTAGTTCATAAGCCTCCTTTACTGGTCACTGACCCGTTGTCTCGTACTGATGCTTTTCATACTTAGTCTAAGAACTACACTTTATATAAAACAGAAATAACTTAATTTGAGCATTTAGTTAATAAAAGCAGATTTTTGTTTTGTTCATAAAAAAGGAAATAAAAAGTTGGAAATTTTAATCTTAAAAAAAAAAAAGCTGCGTATATTTAGAAAATTAAAGATCTAGGCCGAGTATGGTGACTCTTGCCTATAATCCCAGCACTTTGGGAAGCCAAGGTGAGAGGATTGCCTGAGCCCACGGGTTCGAGACCAGCCTCAGCAACTTGGTGAGACCTTATCTCTACAATAAATAATAGAAAGAAAAATTAGCCAGGCGTGGTGCATGCCTGCAGTTCCAGCTACTTGGAAGGCTGAGGGAGAAGGATCACTTGAGCCCAACCGATCAAGGCTGTGGTGCTCATGAGCGTGCCACTGCACTCCAACCTGGGCGACAGAATGAGACTCTGACTCAAAAAAAAAAAAAAAAGAAAGAAAGAAAGAAAAGAAAATTAAAGGTCTGAAGTTGTAAGAGGTACAGTTATTCCAAAAACATGGGACTTATTATAAAGGAAAAGGAAATTCTAGAAGTTATCAAGTATTATATGATGTGTGTCAAAGTGTTTTACAGAAACTAAAGCACTCATTTGAAATTTTTCTTCATCATTTACTGACTGTAGGAAAAAGTAATACTCTGTGCATGTGTCTTTTTTTTATTTTTATTTTTTTTGAGTTGGAGTCTCTTGGCCCCCGCAGCCTCGACCTACTGGGCTCCGGTGATCCTTCCCGCCTCAGCCTTCCAAGTAACTGGAACTACAGGCGTGCGCTACCATGCCCGGCTAATTTTTTGACTTATTGTAGAGATGAGGTCTCACCAAGTTGCCCAGGCGGGTCTCGAACCCGTGGTCTCAGGCAATCCACTCACCTCGGCCTCCCAAAACACGGGATTACAGGCTGAGCCACCAAGCCTGGCCGTGTGTGTCTTTTTTAACAGAGCAAACAGTTTTAAACACTTAACTACATACAGTTTTTAAACATCTAGGTACAAATGCCTATGGTTTATTGAAGAGAGAAACAGCCCATATGTAAACAAAATTAACTTTAGTTTTAAAAATCCATCTTTTAATGAGAGAAAAAACTTCTTTTAACAAAATATTTAACAAGAAATTACTGAAGTTTTAGTTTGAGCAGCAACTGTAAAATCTGAGAAATTTTATAATGAAAGTACATTCTAATTTTATATTTCAATGGAGTGCTTCAAATTTTTCCCTCTTTTCTACCTTAAATGTACTTTGTACTTTTCTGATGGTATTTTTTTCATAGCCAGGCACAGTGGCACTCACTTGTAGTGCCAACCACTCGAGAGGCTATGACAGAAGGATGGCCTGAGCCCAGGTGTTAGAGGCCTCAGTGAGCTCTGATCATGCCATTGTACTCCGGTCTGGCCAACAGAGCAAGACCTTATTCCAAAAAATAATTGTAATAATTTTTCCTGTTTTAAATTGTATCGTTGTGCTCAAGTTTTGAAAACTTTTACTGATTAACTTTCATGTTTTTAGTAAAAGCTTTGATTGATCAAGAGGTGAAGAATGGCATTCCTTCTAACAGAATTATTTTGGGAGGATTTTCTCAGGTAAGAAAATGGGGGGGAGGATGTCAGTACCATCAGTGTGTATGTCTAAAAGTCTGTGGCTTCAGTCCTTTTTCTCTGGATTTCTGTTCTTTTAGCTGTTACAGAATCTTGACTGACATACTCATCTTTAATGCTGAATTAAGTTTGAATGGACTGGAACTAATTAATCTCAACTTCATATACTCACATTTTTCTAGTTTTCTGCCTCTTTGGCAGTTGTGTTTACTTAGAGATTGCCTTCAAAATTAACTTACTAAGTAAATGAATTAGAACTTAGGATGTATTTTCTTAAAATAACCATAAAGCACATGAAGGTAGATTTTAAGTCAACACAGTGCACCCTTTTAATTAAGCAGAACTCTAATAATATAGGTGTAAGCCTCCTGTTCTAAAAAGAGACTACTGAAAGGAACAGTAAGGTAGAAGAAAAAGGGTTTCTTCCCTTTACCAGCATGTGAAATAGACTTCAGATATAAATATGTGATGTTTATTTTTGGTATCTTTCTTTCTTGCATTTTTCTCTTGCCTTCTATTCTTTCTGCCCCAGATGCAGCTTCCTCATATTGCCCTTAGAATAGAAAGACACGTTGTTGATACGATACAGTAAAAAGGTATTACTGAATTGGTGTTTGTTGAAATTTACAGTTAATATATATAATTATCATACACATTGTAACATAAACATGGGGACAGAAGTTAATGATTGATTCAAAGTGGAAGTGCACGTAGGAGTCTGTATGTTTGATATTCATTGATTACAGTGTACAGAAACCAATTCCTGGTACTTTAAGCAAGAAGGAGTAAGTTATGCGTCTGTGGCATCGTATCAAGAAAAGTGAAGACAACAGTGATGTGAGGCCTCAGGAAGAGCTAGGAACCAGAAAGCAGTCAGGATCTCCTTGCGTTTCTCATCACATTTCTCCATTCACCTCTCCATCAACTCTTGGCCATCTTGGCTTTGGCAGCCTGTATTTTTCCAGCTCTTGAGTTGACATGTAACAATTCCAGCCACACAGAGACTGACTGGCAGTCACTGAATCACATTTCTACCATGCTGAGAGAAAGAACACTACTGGAATGAGAAAAAAATCTTGGGCTAGCAGGATTGCAGCTAGCCAGAATGCAGGGTGTTGGGCGCTGGGGAGGCAGGTACTCTGAAGGTGTCTGCTACGTAGTCCTTGTTCTCTGGAACTCCTGTTTAGAAAACGTCATCAATTTAAGACTAGATTGGATTTTATGCCTAAAACTTTGCAAAGAAAAGAAAATTCAGAATATTTGAAAGGCACACATGTTGTGAGTGCAACAGTTTAATATGCTGTGAACTGGCTGGGCTCGGTGGCTCAGCCTGTAACCCTAGCACTTTGGGAGGCTGCGGCGGGTGGATTGCCTGAGCCCGCGGGTTTGAGACCAGCCTGGGCAACTCGGCGAGACCTCATCACTACAATATATCAAAAATTAACTGGGCATGGTAGCACGTGCCTGTAGTTCCGGCTACTTGGAAGGCTGAGGTGGAAGGATCGCCAAAGCCTAGCA